AGTTTCATTTTCATTTATTTTTTAGTGCCAACCTTGCTTTCCAAAATACTCCAGACACAATAGTCCAACGGATTGGTATCCGGCCATTGTGCGCTGATATGAAGCGAGGAACCTCATTTTGTAACCATTCTTGGGTGGTGCGTGCTGTTGGAATGTCCAAGGTCTACGGCCAAAGTGTTTGCTTGCCCAAGGCTTTAATACACCCTCCAGAATATTTTCGCGATAATCCTCATCCCCATGGCCGGAGCTTGAATTCTGGTGGCCAAAGGAAGGTGGACATTTTCAGTTGACCTCTTTGGCAAGTAAACACTATCACTTTGTTTGTTTACACCCTGTACATGGAAAAGCAGAGATTCTGATAGTGTCAAAATTTTAAATAAATTTATAAAATGTAATGTAAGAGTCCGATTGTCTTCGAATTACACACATCACGATATTTTTATATACCCAAGGTCTGGTGGGAATATGGGATGTATCGGTCCACTCCTTCTGGTACCTCTCTCTCAAAGGTAAAAAATTTTGAATATCCATGAAGCTTATAAAACGCGAAAATAACATCCGATTCCATTCAGACTTGGCACATCTCAATATTTCTATCAACAGAAGATCTGTTATAAAGATAAGAAAGACCATTGCTTCTGATACTTCCCCCAAAAGGGTCAAAGTCTTGAATAACTAAACAATTATAAACTCCGAAATAAACATCCGGTTCTCTTCATATTTCACACATCCCATTATTTCTACCAACACGAGATCTGCTGTGAATATGGGATATATTGGTCCACTCCTTATGGCACCTCCCCACAAAGAGTCAAATTTTGAATATCCATGAATCTCATAAAACGCGAAATTAACATTCATTCAAGATTTGTTACATCTCAATTTTTCCATCGACACAAGATCTGTTATAATGATGGCAGAAATCGGTCCATTTCTTTTTCTACCTTCCTCACATAGCTCAAAGAAAGCGAAAAAAGCATCCAACTCTCTTTAAATTTCACTCATATAAATATTTTTACTAACACAAGATCTGTTGTGAAGATGATATATATCTGTGAGCCCCTTCTGGTACCTCACACATAAAGGGGAACAATTTTCAATACTTTTATCTGTCATAACTTGCGTAACAAGTCAGCGATTCTTTACAACTTGCTATATCTAAATATTTATCAAAACCAGTAACCAGAGATCCATATGGAGTTTATGATTTCGTATAAAATTGGATATAAATGTCCGATTTTCTTGTCATTTTGCCCATACCAATAATTTTATCTGTATTAGATGTAGTATGAAAATGAAATACATCGGTCGACTATATCTGGTACCTCACGCACATGTTAACATTTTCTAAAATTATATGTCATGTAAAGTGAAGGAAGTTACCAATATAGTCCAAACCTGGTACGTCACAATATTTATATCATATTTATTTAGGCCCGATACGAAATGGCCAATATTGGCCCATTCCTTCGGAACCTACTCCATAAGGGGTTAAACATTTGCATAATCATAACAGAAGTCAAAATATATTTAAATAATTGAAAATTGGCTGAGGGCATACATCTGTCGGCAAAACCGACAGACACTTTTTAACTTGTTTGCCATGGAATGCCGTGGATTTCTCACAACATCGAGTTCCTAACACAATCGGAATTCTTTTTCATCCCAAAACGAAAACAGATGTTCTACCAAAAAAAAAACTGTAATATGAACTTTAATATCAATTGAATTTGCAATGTTTTAAAATTAACAAGTTAAAAAGCAGTAAGTTCGGCCGGGCCGAACTTTGAATGCCCTCCACCATTTGGAACGAATTTGGAAAATTTCAAAAAATAAAATCCTTGAAAAATTCTGTTAAAATTTTAAAAATACCGAATATAGCCGTTATATTGGGCTCTATACGACTTGAACCTACATAGGCATTGTTTGTCATAAGTCATTACCATATTCAAATTCGAAACTTGAAATAAACGGTGAATAATGGATCTAAAATCATCAAAATATCGTATATAGGGAGGTACCGTTATAACGGAACTGTGCGAAGACCTGGACCAGCATAGACAATTTTCTGTTACAGGCTATAGCATCCATTACGAACGTCAAATACGACATCTCAAACAATTTCAGTGGGTATTGTACCTAAACTCGTCAAAATACCGAATATAGGGAGATACTGATATATGAGGCCTATACGAAGACGTAGAGCTGCTCATACAATTTTCTGTCATAGGCTGTAGTATCCATTAAGAATCTCAAATACCAAATTTGAAACAATTCCGGTGAATAATGTCGCTAAAATCATAAAAATACCGCATATCGGGAGGTACCGTTATATGGAGGCTATATGAAAACGTGGACCCACATGGCCCATATACGAACTTAGCCTGTCTAATGGAAAACCTGTGTGCAAAATTTTAGCCTTCTATCTCAATTCGTTCGAAAGATAGCGTGATTACAACAGACAGACAGACGGACATGGCTAAATCGACTAAGAATTTTAAGCTGATCAAAAATATATATACTTTGTTGGGTCTGACATGAGTATTTCGAGGAGTTACAAACGGAATGACAAAGTTAATATACCCTCCGTAGTATGGTGGAGGGTATAAAAAAATAAAAGGTAATTGCTATGTCCTACCTTGTCTTCATTGTACCCTATGGTACATACCTACTATTAGATCATCGCACACACCTAATGTATGGCGTAGGGAATAAAAAGCACAGCATTTTCATAATATTCATTCATTTCACATACATACTCTAATAAAGGTCCCAATGCCGAAATACACATTTACTTAACAGTTAAGACATTTGAGTAATCTACGAAAGAATTTTGCAGATTCATTGCAAATATTTATTTGTCCCATATTTTCCCATTGATGTGATGTATTACCGGCCAACATTTACACATGCCAAGAAATCCGCTTGCGATGCGAAGATGAATTATTACATTTCTTATTTGTTAGCTTTATGATGATATCATCGTGATGCCGGTATCAGATGAAGTTGTGTATTCAGATATGTAGAAATTGTTTAAAATCTATCAACGAAATCGAGAGATCATACAACCAAGGCAGAAAAAATATACATTACATATATAGGGTGATATGAAGAAACTGCAACCAACTTCAGACTGCTGTCATTTCTAAGTAACTCGTACGATAGCTGTTTAAATTATTCCAGTGACAGCTCATTATATTGTTTACAAGCGTACAAAATCATTTTGGTGAGAACTTTCCAGAAAAAAAGTTATTCGTGATGGAATTCAAGCGTGATAGTGTGATTTCTTTATATTTGGCTGGAAAACCACAAGTGGCTATCGTTAGAGCACTCCAGCATTTAAATGCGAATAAATCTTTTGTGTCTCGAACTATCACTCGTTACCATGATACTGGTAGCGTAGCCCGACGTCAAGGAATTGGACGAAAGAAAACACCAACATCAACAGAAATAATTCGAAAAGTAAAGAAGCGACTTGATCGAAACCCGCGTCGCAGTGGCCGAAAAATGGCTCGTGAGCTGAACATATCGCAATATTCCATTCGGCAAATATTGAAAAATGAGCTCCAAAAAGTGCAAGAACTAACACCGCAACACAAAGGAAATAGACTCAAAAGAGCTAAAGAGTTGCTTCGCTTGGCCGAAAGTGGTGAACTGCCGAATTTGGTTTTTTCCGTTGAGAAAACATTCCAGTTCAGCTGAAAATGTGCAGCTTCGGTTGGCCATCAGAACTCAAGCGCCGGCCATGGTGATGGTGTGGGCCACCATAACAGCCGATGGTCGCTCTCCGATCGTATTTATCGACCGTGGCATCGGAATAAATGCGGGATATTATCGCGAAAATATTCTGGAGGGTGTATTAAAGCCTGGGGCGTGCAAACATTTTGGCCGCAGACCTTGGACATTCCAACAGGACTCAGCACACGCCACCCAAGAGTGGTTTTAAAATGAGGTTCCTCGCTTCATTTCCAGCGCACAATGACCACCAAAATCTCCGGATACCAATCCGTTGGACTATTGTGTCTGGAGTATTTTGGAAAGCAAGGTTGGCATTAAAAAATACCAAAGTGTCGATCACCTCAAGCAAGCGCTTCGCCGGGAATGGGCTAAAATATCGCAGAACAATATACGGGCTGCGTGTGACGGTTTCATTGTCCGTTTGAAGGCCATAATTCGTGCCAAAAATTTGATGCTATTTCCAACATTTTTTGCTTTCATTCAATAAAATTTAAACAAAAAATGTAAAAATTATGCCGTTTGACTTTTTTGCAGATTTTTTATCTCTCCCTGTACTTGGTATATCTAAATATTTCTCCCACACACAGATATGATGTAAACATGGAATTTATCGGTCCACTCCTTCTGGTAAATCCCCCACAAGGGGAGCCAAATTTTTGAATAATTATAACCCTTATAATATTTCTCTCAAATATAGATCTAATGTAAATATGGAAAATGTCGGTCAACTCCTTCTGGTACATGCCCCAAAAAAGGTTTAAATTTTGCTAATTAATTATTCATATAAAACTGGAAATAAGTGTTCGATTTTCTTTATGTAATGAAATTCTTCGGTCCACTATATCTGATACCTAAACGCGCATTTTTCAAAAATTATTCCTTAACATAATTTAACCACGGATAAATGGATTTTTCACGTGGATATCAGGGGCTTTTATATATGCTGGTATGTAATGGCAACCATTTTGATTCACTTTGACGATTTTACTGGTCCTTTTATTAAAATTTAGAAAAATTAAATCGTTTTGCATCTTTTATCTAGTAAGTTATATAAGCTTAATCAGCAGCATTCCAACACCTACGGGACCTAACAAATGTAGAACGATCGATTAAAGCTGAAATACTAGATTTAAGATAGCAATATCACTGTATAATCGTCTGCAACCACAAATTGATTTGAATCACATTTTTATAAATTTCTACCTATCTGACAAATTCTACACCAAAAGCGAACCAATACGCCTCAACTACTCAACTACTTATTCTACTTAAATTAACTTAACATAGAATAATCTACTTAAAATCTAAAATGGCAATGAGTAACGTTTTGGCAATGTTTTTGTGAATTTGTTTATCTAATTATTGAATATTCAGTCATTAAGATTTAATCATATTTTGAATTTTTTAGTCCACCTCCTCAACGGTGGGACCACTTCTGCCTTGGCCACCAAAACCTCCAGCCTGTTGTCCACACGATGGCCCGGCTCCATGCAGTTTAGTCATGATGGGAGTGCAGATCTTTGTCAGATCCTTCATTTTGTCGTCGTATTCCTCTTTCTCAGCCAAGGTGTTGGCATCCAGCCATTTAATGGTATCTTCGCAGGCTCTCAATGCTTCACTCTTTTCTTGCTCCGACACCTTGTCACTGCCGGCCTGATCCAGTGCCTGTTTCACACCAAACACATAACTTTCCAGATTGTTACGGGCAGCAATTTTGTTGCGTTGCTTTTCATCTTCAGCGGCATACTTCTCGGCCTCATTAACCATTCTGTCGATTTCCGCCTGCGATAGACGTCCTTTGTCATTTTTGATGGTGATATTCTTGGCATTGCCTGAACTCATTTCCTTGGCGGACACATTTAGAATGCCGTTAGCATCCAAATCGAATGTCACTTCAATCTGGGGCACACCTCTTGGAGCTGGAGGAATGCCGGACAGGTCAAAGGTGCCCAGCCGGTTGTTATCCTTGGTCATTACACGTTCACCCTCGAACACCTGGATGGTGACGCCTGTCTGATTATCGGAGTAGGTGGAGAATGTTTGAGTCTGTTTGCAAGGAATGCGTGTGTTGCGCTCGATGATCTTGGCCATTACACCACCAGCAGTTTCAATACCCAGCGATAGAGGTGCCACATCAACCAGTAAAACATCTTGGATTTCACTACTCTTATCTCCACTGAGGATTGCCGCTTGAATTGCTGCACCATAGGCCACAGCTTCATCGGGATTAATGGACAAATTCAAACTCTTGCCACAGAAGAACTGTTGCAGCAAATTTTGAACCTTGGGAATGCGAGTTGAACCACCCACCAAGACTATATCATGGATATCGTTCTTGTCCATTTTAGCATCGTTGAGAGCTTTCTCCACGGGTTGCAATGTCTGGCGGAAGAGATCGGCACACAATTCCTCAAATCGGGCACGACTTACTTTCGTATAGAAATCAATGCCCTCAAACAAGGCATCAATTTCGATGGTGGCCTCAGTGCTCGAGGACAATGTACGTTTAGCCCTCTCAGCGGCTGTTCTCAGGCGACGCAAAGCCCGAGGATTAGAACGCAGATCCTTCTTGTATTTCCTCTTGAATTCATCGGCTAAATGATTAACCAGACGATTGTCGAAGTCTTCACCACCCAAGTGCGTATCTCCTGCCGTCGAACGTACTTCGAAAAGTGAACCCTCGTCAATGGTCAGAATGGAAACATCAAAAGTGCCACCACCCAAATCGAAGATCAATACATTGCGTTCTCCTTTCAGGTTCTTGTCGAGGCCATACGCCAAGGCGGCTGCTGTGGGTTCATTGATTATCCGCAAAACATTCAGACCGGCAATGCGACCAGCATCCTTGGTTGCCTGACGCTGCGAATCATTGAAGTAGGCTGGCACTGTGATCACTGCATCGTTGACTGATTTACCCAAATACGCTTCGGCTGTTTCCTTCATCTTTGTCAGCACCATGGAGCTGATCTCTTCGGGAGCAAAACGTTTCTGTTCACCTTTGAATTCCACACAGATCTTGGGTTTGCCACTGTCACTGACCACTTTGAAGGGCCAGTGTTTGATATCCTCCATAATTTTCGGGTCATCATATTTGCGACCAATCAAACGTTTGGCATCGAAGACTGTGTTCTTGGGATTCATGGCAACCTGGTTCTTGGCCGCATCACCGATTAGCCGTTCGGTGTCGGTGAAGGCAACATAACTGGGTGTTGTGCGATTGCCCTGGTCGTTGGCAATGATTTCCACTTTGCCATGTTGGAAGACACCAACGCAGGAGTAGGTTGTGCCCAAATCAATACCAATAGCTACCATTGTGTTTTTCTTTCTGTTTGCTGTCTTTCACGAAGTTAGTATAGATTTCGGAAAATCTTTCAATTGACTTTTTAAAATATCTTTCACGACTTTTTTTAACGTTTACTTTTTCTTCACTTTGATTTTTCAAATTTAACGTTGAATAATTTACTTCTTGTTACCGGCAGCGGTGCTCAAGACGAAATATCTCTTTTCAGTCAAATTTCTCTTTGCTTATTTAAATCAAGAACAAAACAGTGTTAAATCATTATTTATACAAATATTTTTTATCTATTTGCTTTATAAATTATTTTGAGAAACATTCGTGTTTAAAAACAATTAAATAGAACCGTAAAATATAAAGAAAAATAGAATTTTAATTTTCTCTGGAATTATCTCTTTTTTCTCTTCGTGTTCTAGAACACGGTTTTGAGCACAATTGTTACCGGTTTCTTCTTCGCTTGTTGTTTACTCTTTGCTTGTTTGTACTGAATTAATGCCGAAGAGAAATTTGCGGCTGCTATTTATATGGCGGAGGCATGCTGCAGAATTTGCCAGATACTCTTACGAGAAAATTGTAGAAATTTCCAGATAAGTTGAGAAGAGAGTTTGGTTTGTTTTGAAGAGAATTTCATATATTCCCATATGAGCGGGTATTGTGAAAAGAGAAACGATTTCGTATTGCTCTCTTACGGCATGCGCATCAATGATTTGTTTATTTTTGTGCCTAGTGTGTGTGTTTGTGTGCAACAGATAGTCGGCACAACACAACACAGCGAAAAAGTTGTTTTCTTGAATGAACACAACAGACAACAATGAATTGCTGACATGTTTGCTTTCTGTCGGGAAATTTCTTTAGCAAATTGCTTGGATGGATGTGAATTTTATGACGCATTTATTTCTTGTTGTTGACGAAATTTGATGGAAAAATTAGATAATTCAGCCGCTTCATTTAAAAGCTGACTATTGGAATACGGTTAGAGGTATTTATATCAGAGTAGTTTAATTTAGGTTATGGCTATGGAAGTATATCAGGGAAGGGTTGTACGGCTATGACAAGTACTAGAACATAGCATGTGATTGCAGACCTATAACACTGCCTTTACACGGTGCAATTTTTAGCTGGCATTTTTATCAATTCTCTTTTAAAATTTCTGCGTAAATCTTCGCGCCTTTACACGGTGGCATTTTACGATAATAGTGCTTGGCATTTTTTCTGACATTTTATTTTATTCAGTATTTCGTATAGAGCTAATTGTTTGTAACAGATATTTATAAAGAAGTGATTTAAAATTAAATGTGTGAATCTAAAGAAGAAATGATGGAAAAAGTTATTGAGGTGTTAAATATTGAATTATTAACATTTATTTTAACTTTCTTTTTCTACTTTTTAATACTTCCAATTAATTTTCATATAATTCACTATACAATTCAATCACTAAAAACATAACATCACAATAAAAGAAACAATTAAAAATTACAATATAGAAACGATATGAAATGTCAAAATCATAAAAAATTCGGAAGAAGCAAAAAGAGAAATGCAAAGAAAATTGCATGTAACCCTGTGCGGTGGCTTATCGTGCCATTTTTTCTTCCATCCTTGTCTCTCTACACGTTTTACCAACAAAAAAAAAATGGCATGGTTAAAAAATGTCACCGTGTAAAGACAGTGTAAGCGAAATTAAGTTATTTGGTGGGTAGGAGTTTTTATCTTCCCTTGTACTCAACTCCCAACTCTTGAAAATTAAATCAAAGGCCGAGACATCATAACATGGAAAAGTGCATTTGGGAAAAGAAACTTTTATAAACTCCACCAAGGGTCCCATGGGCCAACTATGAGAAATTATTCAACTTGAATTAAATAAAAAAACGGGAAATTACCACCAAACCGATTTACGTTAACAATGTGCTGCTAAAGCCTTTAAAATATTTCAGGTAGGAAAGTACCTTCCTTTGTGGATGCCAATATTCAATAGTGGACCATGGTGTATATATACCTGCATATATGTAAATAATTATTCCATTGATGTTCCACCTAGTGATACGGTATCAGTGATACCGGCTCATTCGATGAAAAATTTTGGTTGAAACCTCCAAATATTGAAAATTTATGGACAATTTTGTAGGAAGGGAGGCTGTTACATATTGGACTTGTAACATGTTTACATTTTTACAGATTCAGAAAGAGAGCAAATATCCATTCAGGTGCACATATCCCACATAAATGGAAAAATGTGTATTTTCATTCGGGTAGAATAAAAATCTATTCGAAAAGCCAAATTTTTTTTGATAACTTTGCTGTTGAAGAAGCGAAAAAAACCTTGAAAACTTGGAATCCCGTCGTGATGTGATATGCGACACAAGATAATATTAAGATTTCTGGGTACTTTGCCTTTGGGCATGGGTTGCTGATCTGTCGTTAACGAAATTATAAAATGTATGATCCAACAACCTGTGATGGAGGATATAAAAATATATATAGAGATATGCCATACAAAAAAGAAAAAATTATGTGGGCTGATACCAGCAAACAACAATGAATTTCGTGCCATAGCAATGCTGTCTATGGTAACGTCAATTGTTGAGGTAGGTCAGAAGTTATATTCACCAAAGAGAAAAAAAAAATCACCGGCAGACTACATGAAAAAGTTGTTGTCCATTAATTTTTGATATTAATAGAAATATGAGAGCAAAAAATAGTTTTTTTTTTTTTTCAAATATGTAAACATGCATGTTCGTAGGTGTAGTATCAGAGCTCATCGTGCCGACCAGCTACTGAATCACAATGTTATTTTTGTTAGGAACAGCCAATTAAATTAATGATGCTAATTAAAAAATTGCCGCTAAAACGTGTTGTTATTTATAGACAAATACCTCCAAACATGCATATATATTTGTACAGGCATGTGAAGATGAATGCAACTGTTTCCATTCAATTAAACATTGCGATATATGTTGTTCTTCCTTAAACCTTTCATGACTCCCACCACATGAGGCAAGTTATATGAATGGCTTCATTCTATTTAGAACAGTTCGTACTAGTCATCGGATTTCCCCATTCCAAATTTTAATATAAGACTTTATAGATCTATCACGGTCCTGATATTAAACAAAATACCTATTTCATAAAGTGTGCACAGTATCCCAAATTTAAGTTTGACCTCTTGACCTGTTGAAATTAAGCCGGAGTTCACATTATTGTATAAAGAGCTATGAAATTTTGGCAAGCATAGTTTGTTTTAAGTGTATGGCGATTGATGTTGACTAAAAGTTACGTTGATTCATCTTGAGGTAATTATTTCCCCCACATAACGGCACCTCCCGATTTTAGAAGTCCTAAATTCTAGGTAAAGTTTACCAAAAAAGGTGTTAGTGTTAGTTTTGGTCTTTTCCAGAACTGGAATGTAAAAGTATTTACTACTATAACAGATTTTCCCTTTATAATATCGAAAAAAATGCAAACCTAGTAAATTCTTGCACGATCTGGAGCAGAACCATCCCTGGTAGGAGATTGGTGTTATAAAAACAATATTTGTCAATTTTGCTTGGAATCGTTAAATGTATAGATACAGTTCCCACATCCCCGATAAAATATTACATTCCAACTAATTTTGGACGAAAAGATGGGGAATCCAGCAAACATGACAAACAAATATTCAAAACGATGCGGTAAAAAAAGATTTTTAGAAATGTGTATCTTTGTGTAGGCATGTGTGTGCACTTCAGCCGTCACAACAAAATACAAATATCGGCTATAAACAATGCACCACACAAATATACAACAACACGAAATGGAACGAATTTTCGAGATACAATTTTCCTCTGGCCCCTTACACCTTTGGTAATACCATAGTAGTACGGGCAACCAGACACTCCACAAAATAACAATTCAATTGTGCTCAAAACCGTGTTCTAGAACACGAAGAGAAAAAAGAGATAATTCCAGAGAAAATTAAAATTCTATTTTTCTTTATATTTTACGGTTCTATTTAATTGTTTTTAAACACGAATGTTTCTCAAAATAATTTATAAAGCAAATAGATAAAAAATATTTGTATAAATAATGATTTAACACTGTTTTGTTCTTGATTTAAATAAGCAAAGAGAAATTTGACTGAAAAGAGATATTTCGTCTTGAGCACCGCTGCAATTGCGACAACGGCTCTCTCTTCTCTAAGAGAGGCTGATAATAACAAACAGCCCACATTCAGGCGCACATACATTTCGTAAACAAAAACACAGCGAATAAATCTCTCATTCACATTGCGTGCATGCCACCAACCACCCCACACAGAACAAATCAAACGCGAGAAGAGAACAACCGATACTCTTTCGTTTTCTTAATTCTCTTCTCAACTTATCCGGAAATTTCTACAATTTTCTCGTAAGAGTATCTGGCAAATTCTACAGTATGCCTCCGCCATATAAATAGCAGCCGCAAATTTCTCTTCGGCATTAATTCAGTACAAACCAGCAAAGAGTAAACAGCAAGCGAAGAAGAAACTGCTATCAAGAAGTAAATTGTTCAACGTTAAATTTAAAAAAATTAAAGTGAAGAAAAAGTAAAGTTTAAAGAAGCCGAGAAAGATATTCTGAAAAATCAATTTGAGAGTTATTCCAAAATTTATACTAACTTCGTGAGAGACAGCAAACAGAAAGAAAAACACAATGGTAGCTATTGGTATTGATTTGGGCACAACCTACTCCTGCGTTGGTGTTTTCCAACATGGCAAAGTGGAAATCATTGCCAACGACCAGGGCAATCGAACAACACCCAGTTATGTTGCCTTCACCGACACCGAACGGCTAATTGGTGATGCAGCCAAGAACCAGGTGGCCATGAATCCCAAGAACACAGTCTTCGATGCCAAACGTTTGATTGGACGCAAATATGATGACCCGAAAATTATGGAAGACATTAAACACTGGCCCTTCAAAGTGGTCAGTGACAGTGGCAAACCCAAGATCTGTGTGGAATTCAAAGGTGAACAGAAACGTTTTGCTCCCGAAGAGATCAGCTCCATGGTGCTGACAAAGATGAAGGAAACAGCCGAAGCGTATTTGGGTAAATCAGTCAACGATGCAGTGATCACAGTGCCAGCCTACTTCAATGATTCGCAGCGTCAGGCAACCAAGGATGCTGGTCGCATTGCCGGTCTGAATGTTTTGCGGATAATCAATGAACCCACAGCAGCCGCCTTGGCGTATGGCCTCGACAAGAACCTGAAAGGAGAACGCAATGTATTGATCTTCGATTTGGGTGGTGGCACCTTCGATGTCTCCATTCTCACCATTGACGAGGGTTCACTTTTCGAAGTACGTTCGACGGCAGGAGATACGCACTTGGGTGGTGAAGACTTCGACAATCGTCTGGTTAATCATTTGGCCGATGAATTCAAGAGGAAATACAA